TGACTTTACCCTGGTCTTTTTATGTGGTCAGGCCTCGGAAGATTTCTTGTTATTTAAATTTTAATGTTTTTAAAATGGCATGAGAATGATACAATTACTACTCAATTACCACATTTAAGGCACATTCCAGGTAATTTCTCTCAAATAAAATGAGTAACTTTGGCGTGCCTGTAAACCTAGCAACAACAGGGATAAACTCCATATTTCCCAGTTATGCTGCCTGCTCAGGCTTTTGGGGAAAAAAAAAAAAAGAAATGCAAAAGATGGGGAGAGAGTTCCCTATTAAACTGCAAGGGCTAGGACGCTTCCTGCTGTTCGTTTTCCAGGAGCTGGTTGGGTCAACATGAGTCGGAAGCAGAGACAAGGCGGCTTCTAAAAGCCTCCACCCGATTATCCTAGGCAAAGAAAATGCTGTTTTAATGGTGCTAATGAAACACTGGGATGGTGAGTGGGATGGTTTTGGGGGTAGGTGACTGAATATAGAGACATCAAACCTCTCCGGTCTGTCACCTCTCAGAGTTACCTCTCTCACCTGGCCTGTTACTTGTCCCTCCCTCCCTCTGCTCCAGCCACAATGGCCTCCTTGCTGCTCCTGTAATCTGCCTGGCACCCTCCCACCTCAGGGCCTTGGTACTCTCCCATGATGGTCATCCCCCAGATCCCCAAAAGGCTTGCTCTTCTCATCCTTCAGGCCTCTGCTCAAATGTCTCCCTTCTCAGTGAAGCCTCCCCTGACCACTCAGTCTAAAATGGCACTGTTTCTCCATCCTCCAGGCCTTCCTCTTTGATTTGTTTTTCTCCATAGCATTTCTAAGTATCTGACATATTACAAATATTATTTGATTACTGTTTGTCTCCCTTACTAGAATGTCAATTCCATAAGAGCACCAATTTTTGTTTTATTTATTCATTGTTGTATCCCCACAGTGCCTGGCACTGAGTAAAAGGCTCAGTAAATATCAGTTGAATGAATGAAAGAAAACGGGGTGGCGGGGGGAAGGAAGGGTCGGAGATCTTGTTTCAGGCCTAGCCTCTGCAGGACACCATGAGGGCACTGGTGCCTGACACACCAGGAGGATTCAGCTCCTGCTGACTGTGGTGAGGACCAGGCATTTTCTGTCAAAAAAGAAGGCTCTGCTTGCCTACCCAGGTACAGGGTAAACAGAAGCAACACGGTAAAAGAAGAAACGGTTTCTGTGGATGAAAACAAACAAACCCTTATCCACAGAATGCAGTGACCAAGATGAATCAATCTGTGTTTGAGACTTGTTTTTGCAGTCACTAACGACAAAGAAATCTGAATTTTAAACCTAGTGTATGACCTGACGAGGCCCCACCTCAGATGGGGTGTGGGAAGTTTCCAGGATTTCTCTTTCTCTTCCATCCTAGATGGGAAAGGGTTAGTCACTTGTCTCTGTAATGTTCTCCCTCTAAGTGTTGATTCAGAATCACTGGGCTTCTTGGGTACAGTGACTAGGAAAG